GGTCTTCAGGAAATTAAGCAGATGCTAAGGGACCTTCTAAGTAATGGGGGACCCAGCGTTCAACGCCCGGCGCCTCCTGGCAGCGGCAGGGTCGGAGATCATAAGAGAGGGTCCAATGGTCAGGGACGCAGACCAATGACCTGCTACGAGTGCGGAGAGGTGGGCCATTTCGCGCGAGAGTGCCCGGAACGGAGGAGACGCCGGCGAGAAGAGCTCGACCATTATGGGCCACAGCAGTACAGTGACAATGGGCAACAAAGCTATGCCGACGCAGCACGAGGATGCGGGGGACCACCGCCAGGCAGAGCAGGTTGGACAGGTGACAAATCACCTCGGCGACAACCTTACAAGGCGGGGTGCATGACAAAAGAGTCGGGAGACACTTGGGCCGGGTCTAGGCCGGAAAACTAGGGAAGGCGGAGTCTGTGCCGAGGGCTTCAGCCTACCAAGGAAAACGGCAGACAGAGCGACCGAGAAGGTCGGAGATCCGGGCGGTACTGAATAGGCCGTCCTGGCGAGTTGGACTTGTAGTGTGTGGGAAGGCGGTAGAGTTCCTGGTTGACACAGGTGCAGAGGTGACCCTATTAGATAGCGGGGCCTACGAGAGGTTGCCTCAGGGGAAGCCGGGACTGACCCCGACGGTGGCAGAGGTGGTCGACGTTCAACATCGGCCATTACCGACGCTGGGCGAGTGTGAAGTGCAGCTTGGGTTTGGCGGCCAGCGCTATTTGCACGATGTGCTGGTAGTACAGATGGGAGAAGTTGGTGGCGTGCTAGGCATGGACTTCATGGGCCAGCACAACTGTCAACTGGACACGGGTCGCGGCTACCTCACGATCGAAGGGGTTACTCATGCCCTCTACGGCGGACGGCCTGTCGACAATCGTCGTTTGTGATCGACCCGAACTGTGCGAATTCCAGCGGGACACCGAGCCGTGGTGCAGGGCAGCGTGCGCGGGTCAGGTTGGGTGGTCGCCCGTCTGGCCATCGCGGAACCTACGCGTCGGTTTGCTGAATGCGGGGCGCGCCGGGGAGTTGTGATGGCGCGTTGTTTGGTTGACACGGCGGGGAACCGGGTGCCTCTGTCGGTAGTCAACGTGGGGTCAGAGGAGGTCGTCATCCAGCAGGGAGCAGAGTTGGCCCACTTAGAGGACATTGCTCAAGTAGGGAGAGTGGGCGATGGCGAGTGCAACTCGGCGGAGAAGGCAGTGCAGCAAGTGCCGTTACATCTCCAGGGATTGATCAACGGGATGGATGCTAGTGTGACGACCGAGCAGCGTGGTGCGGTAATAGAGACGGTTGACGCTTACCGCGATCTGTTTGCAGCACCGGGTGGAGCGTTGGGCCAAACGGGTGTTGTCAAGCATACCATCGACACGGGTAACCATTACCCAATTAAGCAGGCTCCTCGACGTTTCCGCTGGACAAGCAGCAGGCCTTAGACGAGGAGCTCGATCGGATGTTGGATGCTGGTATCGTGCAGCCAAGCGATAGCCCATGGGCTTCTCCAGTGGTTCTAGTCACCAAGAAGGACGGTGCAGTGAGGTTTTGCATCAACTTCCGCAAACTCAACGATGTGACGAGGAAGGATGCGTACCCCTTGCCCCGCATTGACGATACTTTGGATTCCCTCGCCGGGGCCACATGGTTTTCCACGCTTGATCTGGCCAGTGGTTTTTGGCAGGTTGAAATGGATCCCCGGGATGCAGCCAAGACTGCGTTTGCGGTAAAGCGAGGCCTGTTTCAATTCCGCGTTATGCCATTCGGCCTCGTCAATGCACCCGCCACCTTTGAACGGCTAATGGAACTCGTCTTGAGAGGTCTCCAGTGGAGGGAGTGCTTAGTGTACCTGGACGATGTTATTGTTTTCGGCTCCACATTCGAGGGTGCGCTGGGCAACCTTCGCGATGTGTTTGAGCGTTTGCGTGAGGCGGGACTGTGCCTGAAGCCGTCCAAGTGCAGTCTTTTCCAAAAGAGTGCCGTTTTCCTCGGCCATGTGGTGTCGTCCGATGGTGTCAGCTGTGATCCGGGAAAGATTGGGGCCGTTAGTGGTTGGGACCGACCGGAGAATGTTAGCGAGGTGAGGAGTTTTCTCGGCTTTGCCAACTATTATCGGCGGTTCATCCCCGGGTTTGCGACTGTGGCGGGGCCACTCACCGACCTGACGCGGAAGGACCATCCGTTTCGCTGGACGGAGAGCTGCCAGGTGGCATTCTGCACGCTCAAGCAGAAATTGACAGAGGCGCCGGTACTGGCTTACCCGCTACCAGAGGGGGAGTTCACGGTTGACACCGACGCCAGTGCAACCGGTATGGGGGCAGTGCTTTCGCAGTGTCAAGGGGGAGTGGAGCGGGTGATCGCCTACTCCAGTAAGACGCTCTCCCAGACGCAGCGGAGGTATTGTACCACCAACCGGGAGTTGCTGGCCGTCGTGACTGCCGTCAAGCAATTCCGGCACTACCTCCACGAACGACACTTTACCGTGCAGACCGATCATGCGTCGCTCACCTGGCTTCTGAACTTCAAGGAGCCAGAGGGCATGGTGGCGAGGTGGATCGCCTACCTCGGGACGTTCGATATGAAAATCGAACATCGCCCTGGGAGGCTTCATAGCAACGCAGACGGATTGTCGCGGCAGCCTGGTTGTCGACGGTGTAAGCGTGTAATGTTGCAGTTGCGAGACGGGTGCTTCGTGCGAGAGCGAGGCATCGGCCAGGACCATGGAGACCGGTGCCAGAGAAGGATGGGGAGGCGCTAGACCGATGGGACACCGCCCAGGTAGAAAAGTGGCAGCATGGGGATCCCATGATCAAGAAGATCCTTGACTTGAAGCGGGCCCACGCTGACCAACCCACCTACAATGATATGGCAAGTCTCTCCTGGGAAGGGAAGGCGTTCTGGCATAATTGGAGCCAGCTTGAGGTACGCCGAGGCCTGCTGCACCATCTATGGTCACCGGACCACCTGCGCGGCGACGCGCGGCCAAGGCTTGTGGCTCCCCCAGAGATGCGACGGGAGATAATGAACTTGTTACATGGGGCCCGGATGTCAGGACACCTCGGGGCACTGAAGACGCTGGAGCGGGTGCGTCAGAGGTTCATGTGGCCGGGGATGCGGGCCGACATCAAGAGGTGGTGTCAGCAGTGCGACGTGTGCGCCAGGAGGAAAGGAGGGAGGAAGCGCCGTGCGGGACTTCGGCAACAGCCGGTGGGTGCACCAATGGAGCGCGTGGCCATTGACTTCATGGGGCCCTTGCCAGTGACCAAGTCGGGTAATCAGCACATACTCGTTCTGTGCGATTACTTCACAAAATGGACTGAGGCTTACGCACTACCCGACCAGACAGCGATGACGACGGCAGACTGTCTCGTCACACGGTTCTTCTCACGGTTTGGTGTGCGGAGGACACTCCACTCTGACCAGGGGCGGAATTTCGAGTTCGTTCTTGCCGGGCGTGTGCGGGGGAGAACTACTTGGGATTGAGGAAGACCAGGACGACACCCTACACCCTCAGTTCGGACGGCGGGATTGCGAAGCGATTCAAATGCGACACTCCAGAAAATGCTTGCCACTGGGATGCATGGACGACCATTCATCCGTTATGTATTGCAGCATATCGGGGAATCTTCATGCAGAGAGAGCACTGGGTCAGCCCGATATGATGCGTTTGGCAGGTGGAGGTCGGATGCCATCGACCTGATGGGCACACCGCCGACGACGGGAGTCGATCGGCCTGTCCGTCAGAATATGTTGAGTGGGTGAGGCAAGCGACGCGGCGGGCGCACGAACGAGCAAGAGAATGCCTCGATGGCGCAGCCGAGCGGCAGAAGAGGTGCTACGACAAGCACGTGAAACCGTCAGCGTTACCTTATGGAAGCTGGGTATGGTACTTTTATCCGCCCGACGATGTCAAGTTGGGTAGGCCATGGACTGGGCCATACCTGGTGGTTCGGAGTCGTGGGACCCTCCGGTCGATACAGGCCACAGAGCACGGACCGGTGAAGGTGGTCTGTGTAAATAACCTGAAGCCGTACGAGGGGAAAGACGCCCCGGAACGGTGGATGGTCGATGATGTCGGGGCCGAGGACCCTAAAATGCGGAAAGCTGAGGGGATGAGGGCAATAGAAGTTGAGGTGGGGGCAGAGCAAGGAACTGCTGGGGCTGAGTGCGAGATGCCTGTCGACCAAGAGCCGGCCGACGCCGACGATGGTGAGTCGGAACAGTGCGATGCACGACCCCCAATGGACTTGACGTCCTCGCCAGCCGACAGCGAAGGAACAGAAGTGGAGGAAGCGGGCATGGCAGACGAGGCGGCGAGGTGGCACAAGGCCGTTGGAGCCATGGAGCATGGGTACCGACGACGGGGCTTGGCGCAAATGCCGGAGCAAGTGACCCGCAGCCGGCGGCAAGTGCAGCCGCCCGCGTACTATGGCTTCCAGAAGGGACAGTAGACGGATGAGTGGCAGCGGGAGGGAAGAAGAAGAGACCTCTACGGTGGCACTAGGATCGCTCAAACTGGGGTAGGACCCCATGGTGAGATAACACGGCACGAGTCTGCAAGGAGGAGGAAGTGACGAAGCATATGACGCCTCGTGAGTCTCCTGCGAGTGATGATCACATTCGCGGGGGTATGACTCCTCCTTTCCAACACCGCCGGATGTGTTAGCGGAGTGGACGGGGATGGCACGTGTCGATCTGGAGTATCGACGCGGGTGGTGGGGTTACGCCCACTGCCTGTGCGGGCAGATATCGCCTTGCCCGTGGTGACCCGCCGATGAGCGGGTTGCGTGTTGTCGCCCGACCGCCGGCGACGTAATGGCCGCTCGACAGACTACGCAGATGGTGGCTGGCAGAAGACGCACACCGAAAAGAGCGAAGCCAACCTGTCGCCGTGGGTCATGGAACTCTTTCCTCTTTGTGGAACACTCATAACACGTGGTGAGACTGAGACAGTAACACGTGGTGAAGTCGCTAGAGTATTCGCGATGAAAGGGACTCACTCTTTAAGCCGTGAATGTTGAAATTGCCCGATCTGGTCGACTTGACGACCAAAACGGACTTGAACTGGTCCTGACCGCCGTATATCTCCTTCATGACGGGTCTCGTCTGCTCCCACTTGCCGCCCTGATACGCCCATCCGGCGTCCATGATGGCGTAGTCGGTACCTCCCTCCGAGCCGACGCCGCTCAGGCAGGACTTGAAGTCGCTGTTTTCGACGCACTTGATGCTCGGCATGACGTACTGCACGGCGAGCGCGTCGCGCAGGTCCTCGCACTGCTGCTTATCCTGCTTCGACGCCGTCGTGCATATGCTGATCTCCTTCTCGTCGTTGGAGCTCGGGCAGTAGTCCTTCTCGTTGGCATCGATGAACGACTCGGAGAGGTAGTCGCTGATCAGGATGAGAAAATCGTCGATTGTCTGCTCCCGGGTGACGATGCTGAGCTTCTCCGGCAGTCGTTTCCCGGTCGAATCGGTGGGATTGTCATTGTCGTTTGATGCCAGCAGGGCGGTGACGAACTGCTGATTCGTTCCCTGTAATGAAAACCGTGGCAGACGTCGCTTAGATCGTGCTCGGCGACTGCCTCCGCTAGCCGCCTCGCGCACAGCCGACCGCGGTCGCACGAATACGCGCTGTTCGGCAGGGAGGTAGTACGTTGTCAGATATATCAGAAATAGTCGAGGGTTTTAAAGGGAAATGTCGTGCAAAGGTCATGACAGTTTGGATTTATGATAGACATCAGCATTTATGATGTTTAGACTGACAACGAGCCCCAGTAAAATGTCGCTCGAGCAGCTAAATTAGTGATCCGCTGCATATATATATAGTCGCATTTCTGCAAGCGGTCACAATAATTTAACATGTAGATTTAATCTGCGTATATCTCATACTCGATAGACAGATCTACTCGTATTATGTCGAATAGCGATATACTTGGCGAGTGAACATTTTATGCTCTTGAGTTCTGCACATATCGAATCGAGGTGGCTAATAACCATATTGTTCTTTTTCATCTGACACCTACTACGTGCATCACAAAATCACTCGCCCCGCCCACGACAGATTCTCTTCATATCATCGCGTGATTCCCACAAACAAGTCGTATTCAATACGTGTATATAGCATATGCAGACACCAAGTGTATCACAATTCGACACAAGAATACCACTTGTAAGGTTAACAGTAAGTGAACAGGAAGAAACGTCTCAAAATATAACAAAATGTTGAGTAAATGTTTTACAGAATGGCGTGCAGCATTCCTACGTGTGCATAAAAAGCTGTGTAACTATTACTACCTTGGCGGTAAAATATAGCTCCGCTAAAGCGTCTCCTATTGCCTTCTTCTGTCCACGTGACTGATACGTCATGATATGATGGGTCGGGTAGCGTCCCCAGTTGCAGTTCTCGACTTGCGAGAGCTAAATAAAATGCAAAATTCATCCGTGTGCAATACATCATTGACACTGGAAGGCCTAATCTGCGAGGCTATGAACAAGTAGGTCAAACACGCGGGTCTTACACATCTCGTCTGCTTAGTCTTCTCCATCATTTACCGATTCTTCCTACTACTGCGCAGTGTCGTTGTGATTTATGTTTGCTACCAATCTGATTTTGGCCATATTCTTTTGTTACCGATTGTTACCTTCGCGTCTGCTGTAGATTGGAAACGCGTCGATTCTTGGTGATATTACTGCCCGCAGTACGTGTCAAAAACACATTCATGTCCCACGGCTGTATATAAGCTGCGGCGTCCGGCTCCGAAGCAACACAGAGCCAGCTTGGCTCAGTCAGAGAAGCTCGCACTCTGCCACTGCTCTCTAGTTGCTGGTGGCTTGTCTGCCACTGCTAGTTGACCATATAGGGTGTAGCCGACTGGCTAAGCACTGTTTATTACTGCATCCGGGCCTTCAGCACAAAGTAACGTATCATCACGGGGTGTGTTTTATCTGCCGCTGGCCTGATGGTCAACGGTATGTAATAAAAGCCCTGGCATACCCGGTGTGAACACCGTTACTTCGTCGTTCCGTCTTAGGAGTTGCGTGAATTCCGTTAATCCAGTGGTCGTTCCTGTCAAGGAATTATACCCGGGACCAACATCAGGCCCGGGATAACGTCTTATCGGCAAAAATTCAAATTCGTTACAGTGGTGCCGTGACCAGGATTAACGTTTGAATCCACGTAACTTTAAGACAGCCCGTGAAGGTAGAGTGAGTGTTCTCGACTGGTGCAACTGGTCTCGTTGTCAAACTTACCCGCCTGGTGGTACTTGCACGCCGAACAGGCGATGTCTCTTACCTCCCGGGCGCGACAGGCGAGACGCCGAGAGCTGCAGAGCATTGTTCACGATGCTTACCGTCATTACTACGGTGGGTGCAAGCCAGTGAAGGGTCCGCCGTGTGTGGTCTCCATTAACGATCTAAAGCCATACCTCGGTGAAAATGCCCCTGCAGCTTGGTGCATCCAAGACCAAGGATAAAGTTTCCTCTGCACGTGGTGAAGTAGCCAAAGAAGAGGAGAAGGTTAAGATGAGCGAGTCTGATCCAGAAGTGAACCCTTCATTGCAATCTCAGTTGGGACTGGTGCCTCCGGGGGCGGCTGTGTGCACCTGCTGATGCGGCTGGAACAGTCCCAGGACAGATGGACAAGAGTTCCCCATCACTTCCTGGAGCGATGACCGAATCGTGCGTGAGAGAAGACGTGTGTTGTCCCAGCCGTGCGCGAGAGAGAACGTGTGTCGTCCCAGCCGTGCGTGAGAGAGGACGTGTGTCGTCCCAACGCCGAGTGTCAGGCCGGATGAGGATAGCCTCGCCACGGCAATTGGCAAACCGTGCAGCCTGTGCCAAGTGGAGTGTCAGGCCGGATGAGGATAGCCCCGCCACGGCAATTGGCAAGCCGTGCAGCCTGTGCCAAGTGGAGTGTCAGGCCGGATGAGGATAGCCCCGCCACGGCGTTTGGCAAGCCGTGCAGCCTGTGCCAAGTCATCATGTCAGACCAGTGAGAGATTCCTGCCATGACCTTAGACGTTATGCTGTCTGTTAGGACGGACTCCGTGCCAATGGTGAGCTGCGAATGGTAGACGAGAATGAGTAGACGGTTGCTGGAATGGGAGGATTTATCCTTCCCAAGCCCCGGACGTATATCCTTGTTCTGAAGGGAACCGTGTGATAAACCCGGCAGGCAGGCACATAAGTCTGTACTCGTCCCTGCGAGTTGCACTTCATAGACGGTCTGGTTAGATAGTTCGTCGGACGGCCGTCGAAGAGCCTAAACGTCAGATAGCCACACAGCACACTGCGAGGTGACGAGCTGTACGAGCACGGGTGAGAGTCACGCCTTCCCCGTCGGTATGCTACGCCAGTGTACTGAATGATGACAGGCAAATGCCGATCAAGCACGCTGTTGCTCCCATACAGGGTATGGTGGATCACCGGTTTAAAGAGATCGAGGAAAGGAACTGTCATATCTCTGCCCTGAACGAAGAAGTGGCGACCCCTTTCTATGCAAGTAAAGCGCTCTTGGACAGAGACATTCACGCCACCATACCGGCGTTATGCGGCAACCAATGAATGTTGAAATTGCCCGATCTGGTCGACTTAACGACCAAAACGGACTTGAACTGGTCCTGGCCGCCGTACATCTCCTTCATGACGGGTCTCGTGTGCTGCCACTTGCCGCCCTGATACGCCCATCCGGCGTCCATGATGGCGTAGTCGGTACCTCCCTCCGAGCCGACGCCGGTTAGACAGGACTTGAAGTCGATGTTCTCGACGCACTTGATGCTCGGCATGACGTACTGCACGGCGAGCGCGTCGCGCAGGTCCTCGCACTGCTGCTTATCCTGCTTCGACGCCATCGTGCATATGCTGATCTCCTTCTCGTTGTTGGAGCTCGGGCAGTAGTCTTTCTCGTTGGCATCGATGAACGGGTCGGAGAGGTAGTCGCTGATCAGGATGAGAAAATCGTCGAGGGTCTGCTCCCGGACGACGAGGCTGAGCTTCTCCGGCAGTTTGTTTCCGTTCGAATCGCTGGGATTGTCATTGTCGTTTGATGCCAGCAGGGCGGTGACGAACTGCTGATTCGTTCCCTGTAATGAAAACCGTGACAGACGTCGTTTAGATCGTGCTCGGGGACTGCCTCCGCTAACTGCCCCGCGTACAGCCGACCGCGTCCGCACGAATACGCGCTGTTCGGCAGGGAGGGAGTACGTTGTCAGATACATCAGAAATAGTCAAGGGTTTTAAAGGGAAGTGTCGTACAAAAGTCATGACAGTTTGGATTTATGATAGACATCCGCATTTATGATGTTTAGACTGACAACGAGCCCCAGTAAAATGTCGCTCGAGCGGCTAAATTAGCGATCCGCTGCATATATATATAGTTGCATTTCTGCAAGCGGTCACAATAATTTAACATGTAGATTTAATCCGCGTATATCTCATACTCGATAGACAGATCTACTCGTATTATGTCGAATAGCGATATACTTGGCGAGTGAACATTTTATGCTCTTGAGTTCTGCACATATCGAATCGAGGTGGCTAATAACCATATTGTTCTTTTTCATCTGACACCTACTACGTGCATCACAAAATTACTCGCACCGCCCACGACAGATTCTCTTCATATCATCGCGTGATTCCCACAAACAAGTCGTATTCAATACTATACGTATAGTATAGTAGTCGTATACGTGTATATAGCATATGCAGACACCAAGTGTATCACAATTCGACACAAGAATACCTCTTGTAAGGTTAACAGTAAGTGAACAGGAAGAAACGTCTCAAAATATAACAAAATGTTGAGTAAATGTCTTACAGAATGGCGTGCAGCATTCCTACGTGTGCATAAAAAGCCGTGTAACTATTACTACCTTTGCGGAAAAATATAACTCCGCTAAGGAGTCTCCTATTGCCTTCTTCTGTCCATGTGACTGATACGTCATGATATGATGGGTCGGGTAGCGTCCCCAGTTGCAGTTCTCGACTTGCGAGAGCTAAATAAAATGCAAAATTCATCCGTGTGCAATACATCATTGACGCTGGTATACTAATCT